CGTGGACGTGGCCTACCAGCGCGGCTACTTCGACGAGGACATGAGCCGTGTGCTGGCCGACCCGGGCGACGACACCAAGGGCTTCTTCGACCCCAACACGCACGAGAACCTCACCTACCTGCAGCTGCTGGAGCGCTGCGTGCAGGACCCCGACACCGGGCTCTACCTGCTTTCCGTGTCTTGAGTGTGTAATTTTCTTTGCTCGCCCATATAAAATGCATTTTGCAATCCTCCCGGTGGCGTAGCAGTTTGAGCGCTGCGCTGTGAGCCTGTCTGAGGCCTCTGCATTGCGGGTTCGATCCTGGCTGGCTGGTGAGAATCCCAAGGTGCAGCAGACCCATCCTGTCTCTCAGCTGCTCCCCTCAGCCTTGTATTTCTGTAGATCTGCCTGTTCTGCTCTCCGCTCTGGCTCTGGTGAATCCGATCAACGCCTGTGGTCCTGGTGGTACCCCAGCTCTTGTATAAAAATAATAAATCAATCTTAAACAAGAAAATTAAGAAATTGGGCCTCCCTGTGGCGCAGCAATTGAACGCTGGGCTGCGAAGCTGCCCGCAGCCTCTGTAGCGCCTGTTCAATCCCGGCTGGCCGGGGAGGGTCCACATGGCGCGCAGACCTCTCCTGCCGCACCCGCTGCTCCCCTCAGCAGTGTACTTTGTTTGTCTGCCTGTTCTGTTCCCTGCTCTGACTCTGGTGAATCCTCTCACCCTCCGGCGCTTCTGACTCTCCACAGTGCTTGTATAAATAAATAAATAAAATTGTTTAAATTAAAAAATTAAATGCATTTTCTGCCACATCCCTTTTTCCTGATGGTTTGCTTGTTTGTGTGTGTTGCTGATAGCCGCGCAGCCCTCCCTTGGAAATCCCTTTTCAGATTTTCCTTCTTGCACTTGTGCCCTCCGCCTGCCCCGCCCTGCCCGCTTCCTTGCGTGAGGACCTTCCTGCAGGCCTGAGCTGCTGCCTGTGCTGGCGCCCGTCGTTGGTGTTCCGTGTTTACGCCGGCTCCGTCCTTTCTCGACGACCTCACGTCCATCAGTTCCTGAGTTTTTCTTCAGACTGTCCTCCAGTCCCAGAGCCATGCCCTTTCTGGCTGGACCCAGGGCCCCCTTTCCCAGGCGGTTGGCGGTGCGGGCCCCACTCCAGCTGTCCCTTGGAGGTGCCGGTTCACATGAGTGTCCAGACCCTGCCTCCAGGAGCTGAGTTGGGGCCAGCGCAAGTCCCTCGTCCATAGCAGCTCTTCTGCACAGCAGGCAGAGGCAGACCTGCTGCCCATTCATTCTTTTACTTTTTTTCAAAAGATTTATTTATTTATTATACAACTGGGGTGCAGGCCAGAGGTGCAGGGGTGAGAGGACTCCCCAGAGACAGAGTGGGGAGCAGAACAGGCGGATCCACTGAAATCCACTGCTGAGGGGAGCAGCGGGGGGACAGGAGAGGTCTGCTCGCCATGTGGGTAGCTCCCTGGCTGGGGATGGAACTTGGACTGCAGAGGCTGGGACAGCTTCGTGGTGCTGAGACTGACCCTGCACCGCGGGGAGGCGCGGGACTTCATTCTTTCAGGGAACCTAAAAACCCATCCACTTCATAAAGGTTCTGAGGAATCCCCAGCTCAGTGCAAAGCCCCCCACCCAGGGTGCTCCTGGGGTGCAGGGGTCCTCCTGCGAGCCCAGGGTGCTCCTCCGGTCCTTGGAGCCTAATTCCTTGGTCTCGGGGCTCAGGCCAGCTCCAGAACACGAACTGGTCACAATGTATGGAAAAATCTAGAAAAAGGTGGTCCCTCCAATTTGTTCCTATCAGTACTTCATGCAGGAGTGTCGCTCAGGCAGTCACGGCAGCAGAGCACCCCAGGAGGGAGCACCCCCGGAAGGTAGGCAGTGGCAGCGGGGCAGCCACAGACCGGCACCGCTCACCACGATGCGCCTGGACACCGAAGCTAAAAGCAACACAGTCCCCCCCGCCCCGCCCTCTGCCCATGCGCACCCCCTGCACCCATGTGCCTGCCCTGTGGGGCCCCCCCGGGGCCCTGCCTGCCCTCCACCGATGCACCCCCCCATGTGCCTGTCCTGTGCGGGGCAGTGCATCCAGGAGTCCGGCACCTCCTGCCCAAGGGCCCGGGACAGGGCGCATGAGGCCCGCACCTCTGGCCGACACCCCGTCCTTCTCCGGAAATAGTAACCCTTGGGAAAAAGCAGCAAGAACCTCCTACGTCGGGACGGCTTTATTTGTGTTCTAATAAAAAATGCTGTTTTTGATGTGAGGCTCCCTGGGGGTGACCAGGCCCCGACCCACATAGCCCAAGGCGGCCTCGGGCTGTGGAAAAGTGAATTTCCATCATTCACACCAGGAGTTTGTGGGCAGAGGCAGCGAGGGAGACAGCGGCTATTTTGAAAGTGAAAAGAAAAACATGACATTGCTTTTTGGTTTGTAAGTAACATTTTCTTCGGTGTTACAGCTCTGACTTATGGACAGAAACCGGACACCTGTACCTGCCAGCGGGAGTGTGTGTGTGGGGGGCGGGGTGTGTGTGGGGGGGGCGTGTGTGTGGTGTGTGTGTGTGGAGTGTGTTGTGTGTGAGTTGTGCTGTGTGTGGAGGAGGCCGCCCCCTCCCTTCAGCTAGGCCTGGCAAGCCGAGCGTGTGGCTGGCACTGGGTTGGCCGGGTCCTCCCAGGGCTGGTGCCCGCCAGCCTGGCCCCAGGTTGACCGCAGAAGCTAAGTACTTGCTGCTCCTGGCACTCAGGAGCGAGGCGGCGCCAGGGTGTCCTGCTGTTCCAGGCTGGTCCCATGGGGCTGCAGGGGGTAGCCTGTGGGAAAGGTGGGGGTGGACGCTCTGCTCACCCTCCAGTGCCCCCCCTGGCCACTCCCAGCCCGAGTCTGTGGGCCCAGCTGCTGACCCAGCTGCCTGTCCCACTGGGCCTCACAGATCAAATCCCGTCACACAGTTTTTCCCTTTACTGATTTCTCGAGGAGGCTGGGGGACCCCCGTGGGCCAGCAGGTGGCAGGGCGCCCCCAGGTGGCTGCCCAGGCAGGCGGGCACCTATACCAGTGGGGTGCCCGTGCAGGGATGGGCGGGGCAGCAGGAGTGTCCTCTCTCAACCACTGCTGCTGGGAACTGGGGTCTGGCAAGCCCCTCCAGGCACCTGGGGCTCACGGGGCAGGGATGGAGCCAGCTCTGCCCACTGCTGAGAGCCAGGGGCACCGCACATGGCACACTGTCCAGGTGCAGAGTCCTCGCTGTGGACGCTGGAGGGCGGCGTGGCCCCAGGCATGCAGACGCACAGAGCAGGTGCCCAGCAGCAGCTTATTCTTGTCCGAAGCCCACAGCTACAGTGCCAGCTGGGCTGATTCCTCAGGGCGGCTCCAGGCTCCAGGGCTCGGAGCATCCTGGGCTGTGGCCATGCTGGTCCATGAGTTCCAGTCTCTGCCTCTCGCCTGGATGCTCCTGGTAGGTCTTCCCTCGGGGCCCTCTCCTTTCTCTCTGGCCCCCGCCAGCCTCGTCTCCTTCTCAGAGGTGCATCTGCAAAGGCCTCTGCAAGCAGAAAGGCCCCGCTGCTGCCCGCGGAGGACCCCTGGCAGGGGCGAGGCCGGTAGTGACCGCGGCAGTGCTCCCTCTTGCCCACCGGCCCTGGGGAGGAGTCTGTGGGCGCCTGCTGCATGCAGAGTCCGAGACCCATGAATGAGGGGGTGACATGTGTGGGGGCTCAGAGAGGTGACACTGTGTCAAGGTCGGAGGGGAGTGGCTCTGAGGATGTCTGAGGGGCACCCACCAGGCAGGGGCATGGGCCATGGCCAGCAAAGCAGGGCCTGTTGGCCGGTGGGCACAAGGTAAGGGCAGCAGACGAGGCAGACAGGGGCACACGCATCCTCAGAGCGGGGCCCGGCCCACCCCCCGGGCTGGCCTTCCACAGGGGCTGGGAACAGCCTGCACTGGCAGCAGACTCGCCACGGCGAAAGGGGAGCCCGAGGCCAGCACCCCGGACAAGCCCACACGCCCCAGATGAGGGTCCCCTCCTGTGGCCACGTAGCCTCCCTGATCCTGAGTGACAACGGCTTTGGTCGGGTCAGCGCGCGGGCTGCCCTCGTGGCGGGTGGCTTGGGGCCCCTGTGGACCGCGGCCAGCCAGACCCCGGGCGCGGCCCTGAGCAGCTGTCCCAGGACCGAGGCCCTGTCCCAGGACCGAGGCCCTGCCAGGCCGTCCAGGCGCGTCTCTGCACCGCACAGATTCCCCGGGAGGGTCCCGGCTGCCGGCCAGGGCAGGGCAGTGGGGAGGGCAGGCCCCAGGGGCAGGGAGGGGTGGAGGGTCAGGGGAGGCAGCCGGAGGCCGGTGGCTGTGCTCTCTGGCCAGTGAGGGTGTGAGGACTCAGCAGCCAAGAGGGACGGAGACCAGGCGGGGCTGTGGCCAGGGAGGCGCGCGGTCACTCACTGGCCTGCACTGGCCCGCCCGTCTGTGTATTTTCCTGCCGCCTTCAGGGAGCCGCCGCGCCCCTGGGGAAGGCCAGTGGGGCCGCGCCCGCCCCGCCCTCGGCCCGGGAGAGCCCGGCGCCTGGTGTCCGGCTCCACGCTGGCGCGGCCGGGACGGAAGCCCCGGGACTGGGCCGCGTCGGGAGGTCCGGCTCCGACCGTGCGCGGCGGGCCCAAGCGGCCGGCAGGGCAGGCTCCGAGGCCGGCTGGGGCGGCCGCGGGGCCCACTCGGCCGGCCCGGCGCGGGAGCGGGCGGGGCCGGGGCGGGGCGCGGGCTCGGCCCACCCCGCCTGCTCCACTCGGGCTCGGGCCCCGGGGGGCGGCTCCGGAGGGGCGGGCCGGCTCCTCCCCCGCGCCGCGCCCGCGCCTCGGAACCCGCGGCCGGTGGGGGCTGAGGGCGGCGGCGCCTCGCCCGGCTGGGGTCCGCGCCCGCCGGGGTCCGCGCCCGCCGGGGTCCGCGCCCGCCGGGGTCCGCGCCCGCCGGGGTCCGCGCGCGGCGGGGGCGGCGGATCGCGGAGGGCGGCGGCCTGCGCCCGCCGAGCCATGGCGGCCCCGGAGCCGGCGCCCAGGCGGGGCCGGGAGCGGGAGCGCGAGGACGAGAGCGAGGACGAGAGCGACATCCTGGAGGAGAGCCCCTGCGGCCGCTGGCAGAAGCGGCGGGAGCAGGTGGGCGCGGGCAGCGGGGACAGCGCGCCCCGCGGGGGGCTCAGCCGGGCGGGGCGCCGGGGCCGCGGCCGCCCCAGGCCCAAAATCCGTCCGCGGCCCGCGCCGCCGCCCTTGGGGCCGACCCCAGCCCTTTCACCCGCCCCCGCGCGCCGAGCCCGGGTCTCCACCGAGGTCCACGTCCCCGGCCTCGGCGCGCGCTCGCGGGCCCCTGGGGACCACCCTGGCCCCGAGCCCGCTCCAGAGCGCGCGGCCCGCACTGGAGGCCTCGCCCGCCGCCCAGCTCCCCGCGAGCGGGCCGGGACCTGCTCCGAGCTCCGCGCCCGCGGGACGGGCGTGGGCAGGGCCGGCCCCCCTCGCATGCCAGCGCGCTCTCGCCCGCCGCGCCCAGGTGAACCAGGGGAACATGCCGGGGGTTCAGAGCACCTTCCTGGCCATGGACACGGAGGAGGGCGTGGAGGTGGTGTGGAACGAGCTGCACTTCGGCGACAGGAAGGCCTTCGCTGCCCACGAGGTGAGCCCCGCTGGCGCCCCCCACCCCAGCGGTAGCCCCCCGTGACGTCGCCCCCTTTCAGGAGAAGATCCAGACCATGTTCGAGCAGCTGGTGCTGGTGGACCACCCCAACATCGTCAAGCTGCACAAGTACTGGCTGGACGCCTCCGAGGCCCGGGCGCGGGTGAGCCACGGGGGCGCGGGCGCGGGGGGCGCGGGGGCGCGGGGGGCGCGGGGGGCGGGCAGCGCGAACTGCCGCTGGCGGAGGCCTCCAGCCCGCCCGCCTCGCAGGTCATCTTCATCACGGAGTACGTGTCCTCGGGCAGCCTCAAGCAGTTCCTCAAAAAGACCAAGAAGAACCACAAGGCTATGAACGCCCGGGTATGGGGGTGGGTTGGGGGGCGCGGGCACGGAGCGTGCGCTCTGGCTGGGCGGGGCGGCTCGGGAGGGGGGGGCGGGGCGGGGCTCGGGGCCCCCCGCGGCCACCGCTGCCCTGCGCCCTGCGCCCTGCCCCGCCGACGGAGTCCGTCCACCGCCAGGCCTGGAAGCGCTGGTGCACGCAGATCCTGTCTGCGCTCAGGTGAGGGCTGGTTCCTGGCCCGGCCCCTCGGCTGACACCCCTCCTCCGCGCCCTGACCGGCCTCTGCTGTCCCGCCCGCAGCTTTCTGCACGCCTGCAGCCCCCCATCATCCACGGCAACCTGACCAGTGACACCGTCTTCATCCAGCACAACGGCCTCATCAAGATTGGCTCTGGTGCTGGCTGGGCAGGGCTGGGCTGGGCAGGGCTGGGCAGGCAGGGATGGGCAGGGCTGGGCTGGGCTGGGCTGGGCAACGCTGGGCAATGCTGGGCAGGCTGGGCAGGGGGCGTGGGGCTGGGTGCCTGCCGGGAGCTGAGCAGAGCCCGGCGGCCGCGCCCTGACCAGCCCTCTCTCCCGCGACCGCGCAGTGTGGCACCGAATCTTCTCCAATGGTGAGTGGGGGCTGGGGGTGGGGGGCGGGGGGCGTCTGCCGGCTCACCCCCGGCTCTCCGCAGCGCTTCCTGATGACCTCCGGAGCCCCATCCTGGCTGAGCGGGAGGAACAGAGGAACCTGCACTTTTTCCCCCCGGAGTATGGCGGTGAGTCCTGCCAGCTGCTGCCCGTGCGGCCCAGCGGCCCAGCCCCCCGCCCGCCCTGACTGGCTCTCCCTCCAGAGGTCGCCGACGGGACCGCCGTGGACATCTTCTCCTTTGGGATGTGTGCCCTGGAGGTAGCCTCATAGCCGGCCCCCCACCCCAGCTGTGTGCTGCACTGCCCCTGCCCCTGCCCCCGCCTGACCTGGGCCGCCCCCCAGATGGCCGTGCTGGAGATTCAGGCCAACGGGGACACCCGAGTCACAGAGGAAGCCATCGCTCGTGCCAGGCACTCACTGAGTGACCCCAACATGCGGGTAAGCAGCTTGCCTGGCCCTTGGGCTCTGGGTGGGGCCAGCAGGTGCTTCAGGAAGGCCTGGAAGGGCAGCGGGCCAAGGCCCAGCCGTCCCCACCGAGGACCAGGCCTGAGTGTGAGCTGAGACCCAGGCCTGGGGCCTGAGGGGTCTGCAGGCAGGAAGCCAGCACACGCCTCCTGCGTGGGCAGCTCATCCTGCTGCTTCATAGCTGAGGAAACTGAGGCCCACAGGGCCCAGTACTCTGTCCACGGCTGCAGGTGAGCGGGGGCCAGTGTTATGCCCGGGACTGTCCAGCGCCATGTCCTGCCCCTCACTCCAGGAGCTGGGCTGAGGTGTGGCCCTGCGGTGGGGGCGCCGAGGGTACGGGCTGAGCAGGGTAGGACGGGAGGGAAGCCTCTGGCCGGAGCCCACTGACGCCTGGGCCTCAGGAGAGTGAGCAGTGAGGCCGGGGAGGAGCTGTTGGACGGGCTCACAGGGGCAGGGCCCCCAAGGCCACCTTGGGGTTGGGCCTGAACTGGGGCAGGCTGGGGCAGTGGGGCTGCTGTGCTGGCCTCGGGGCTGGTCAAGCACCTGGCATTTTGCCATGCCCAGGGCTGTGGGCAGGGCTTAGTGCCCTCCCTGCGCATGCAGGCGTCGACTGTGAGCTGGGCCCTGTACCCCCGGGGCTTCTGTAAAGATTCAGGAAGTAGCACGAGGGAAGGACCTGGGGCCTGACCGTCGGTGGTAGGGTCGGGGTGGACAGGCCCCCTCTCTGGCCCCTTCCCGAACCAAGGCTGCCCTGGGCACTGCTCCCCTGGGGCTGGGCCCGGGGCAGCCTATCCTCGTGTGGGGTCAGGGCAGAGGCTGCCATGTCCTCTCTCATGTGCCCCAGGAGTTCATCCTCTCCTGCCTGGCCCGCGACCCCGTGCACCGGCCCTCCGCCCACAATCTGCTCTTCCACCGTGTGCTCTTTGAGGTGCACTCGCTGAAGCTGCTGGCGGCTCACTGCTTCATCCAGCACCAGTGTAAGGGGCGGCTGGCTGGTGGCTGGGGGGACGCAGCACGGGCCACCCTCACCGAGACTCCCCGCAGACCTCATGCCTGAGAACGTGGTGGAGGAGAAGACCAAGGCCATGGACCTGCACGCCGTCCTGGCGGAGATCCCCCGGCCCCCGCGGCCCCTCTGCAGTGGCGGTGAGTCCTGTGGCCAGCGTCCCCTGCGCCCGCGGCCCTGCCAGGCTGCCCACTGGCCGGCCACCCACTGGTGCTTCTGCCTGTGCCAGGTATTCAGAGGTGTCCTTCCTGGAGCTGGACAAGTTCCTGGAGGATGTCAGGTGAGAAGGGTGTGGGGGGGGAGGGGCGCCTGCCAGGACGGGTCCCCAGTCACCCCACTGTGCCCCCAGGAACGGAATCTACCCGCTGATGAACTTTGCCGATGCGCGGCCCTTGGGGCTGCCCCGGGCACTGGCCCCACCCCCTGAGGAGGCCCAGAAGGCCAAGACCCCGACACCAGAGCCCTTTGACTCTGAGACCAGAAAGGTGAGCCCCACGGCTGCTACCCCTGCGGCCAGCCCTCCTCGCGGCAGCGGGGCCGGCCCTGCTGACCCCTGTGGGGATGGGGACAGTAGGACAAGCCGGGTCACACCTTCCCTGTCTCCTTGCCCCTCCCCGTCGTGCCCAGGCCGTGGCCCTGACTCCAGCCCTCCCCAGCTCTCCCTGCCAGGACCCCTGGCGTCTCCTCTGAGGACCCCAGCAGCGCGTGTTGTGTTGCCGGGCCTCCCCTTTTGCACGGCCCCCGCTGGGGCCTCTCCTGACCGGCCAGGGCCCCCAGCCCTTTTCAAGAGTCTCTGGTGTCCGCCTGTGGCGAGCCTCTCTATCACCTTGCTGGCCCGAGCCCCACCTGGCGCCACGTCTGCCTGTGCCACTGCCTCCCGCAGTGTGGCCCGTGCCACCGCCGCCCCCCACCCCTGCAGGGCCCAGGCCTGCCCGCGTTCCCGCCCCATGACAGCCCCTGCTCATCCCTCGCCACTCGGCCTCTGAGGCTTTTTCTGGAAGTTTCTGTAATTTGCCACATGCCGGAGGCGCGTGGAGGGCCCCTCTCCTGCCCAGCCGGGGCGGGGCCGGTGCGCGGTAGCTGACTCCAGCCCGGGGCTCGCCCCAGGTGGTCCACATGCAGTGCAACCTGGAGAGGAGCGAGGACAAGGCGCGCTGGCATGTGAGCGGCGGCGGCGGGTGGGCGCGGGGAGGGGGGTGGCCTGGTGGGCTCTGGAGCCAACACCACCCCCTGCCCCCAGCTCACCCTTCTCCTGGTGCTGGAGGACCGGCTGCACCGGCAGCTCACCTACGACCTGCTCCCAAGTAGGCCGGCGGCCCTGCAGGGGGCTGAGGCAGCCCCGGGGAGCCCTGGGAGGCCCTGCCCTGCAGGGGGGGTTGGGAGGGCCTGGGGGGAGCCCTGGCAGAGCCCTGGGGGGTCTGGGAGGGCCTGGGGGCGGGGGGGCTGCGGGGGCTTGAGGGAGTGGGGGGCTGAGGCAGCCTGGGGAGCCCTGGGGGTGCTGGGGAGCCTGGGGGGGGCCCCCAGCGTGGGGAGAAACCTGACCACGTCTCACCCCGCGCAGCCGACAGCGCCCAGGATCTGGCCGCAGAGCTGGTCCACTATGGCTTCGTCCATGAGGTGCGAGGGCTGGGTCGGCTGGCCAGGAGGGGTGGGTGGGTGCGCCCCTCCACCCTCCCCACACCCCCTTCCCGCCCTCCAGGATGACCGGACAAAGCTGGCTGCCTTCCTGGAGAGTACCTTCCTCAAGCACCGCGGGGCTCAGCCTTGACGGCACCGCAGCCCCAGCACTGCCCTGGCCCTTGGGAAAGCTCGGCTTTGGCCACTGGGTGGGCCCCAGGGCCCCTCTGCCAGTGTGCTCGGGGGCTGAAGACTGAGAGCCCTGTTCCAGAGGAGCCCCGGGGTGGAGCTGGGGCAGGGCCGCTCAGGACTCTGGCACGCTGGCACCCCGCCCACGTGCTCCATTCCCAGCCCGGAGCCCACCCCCACTGCAGCTCTCTGGGGGAGCTGCCCTTGCAGGGGCGGCCTGCAGGGAACCAGTGCAGAGACGGGCCAGTCCTCAACAGATGTCCGCCCAGGGGATCGTTGGTCCCCACTTGGTACCACAGACCCCAGCCCGGGGCAAAGTGCCTGCAGGTGCCACGCATGGTGCTGGGCGTGGGGCAGCCCACAGCCTGGCAGGAGAAGCGGACCAGGAGCAGACACCCCAGGAAGTCCAGTCCCCAGCCCCATGTGGCCCTCGCACCCCCTACCATGCAGGCCTGCCCCCACCTTCCACCTGCACACCCACTTCTGGATACTCTTCTGGCCCCTGTGGCCCTCCACAGGGCTGTCTTCTCTCTCTGATCCCAGCCTGGAGGCATCGGGCTCTGCCCCCTCGCTCGCACCGCCCCCTGGCCTCCCTCCCCACCGCTCTCCGGCTCTAGGACCCTTCCCTCCCGTCTTCCAGTCCAGCAGCCCTTTCAACATTGTAAATCGCATGTATGAATTCCGTGCATTCAGGCTTCTTTTTAAGCATCACGAATGTCAGAGCAGGAGATCTCACTGCCCTAAGCATCTACCACCAACTTGGCGCCTTAGGCCCCACAAGTCCCTGGAGGACCGGGAGCCAGTGAGGGTCGCATGCTCTCTGGGCTCCAGGGCCAGACCTCTTCCTGCTCCTTGGCCTGCAGGGGTCAGGCCTGGCAGACGTGGGTGGGTCCCGCTTCCGGCCTGCTGTAAATGTATGGCTGCGTCCGGCTTCCAGGCGCTGCTGCCCGCCTGGGCTCAGGACCGTGTCCTCCCTCCTGGGGGGGGGCAACAGTGGGAGGGCTTCTCATGAGCCATCCATCCGATCTGCAGCCAGGAACGCTGGCGTGATTATGTGGGGTCTCCACCATGTCTGCAGAATACCCTTTGCCGTGTAAAGTAACACTTGGGTCTCGGGTTGGGGTGTGGACGTCTTTGGGGGGTGACATGGTCCTACCTGCCACATCCCCCTACCCAGACAAGCCAAGGCAGAGCAGATGTGATGGGCAGACCTCGCAAATCTTACACATTCCAGCACTTTTACAAAAGTATTCAAATTCTCACCCCTTTCAAATTATAGGCCTGAAGTAACTTGCACATTCTAGTTGGGACTCCTGATGCTAAATTGTTTGATTCTGCAGCATCTTCAAGAATTGAGTGGCAAGTGCCTGACAGATTGTATCATAATTAAACTAAAGAGCATTACCACACTGCTTCATTCACTCACACCTAGGTGGAGGTTTGCATCTTAACTTTTATTTTTTCAAAGCATATACATATCATTTTAAAAGTGGCATGGGGTCTTACAATGAATGCAATCTCTGACTCAGATCCACCCCCAAATGCAATTCTTAAAATACATGTTTCACAAAACCACACAAGGTTTTACTGCTTTTTATCGGGTTCTCTACATTGTGTCCCCTGGGGAGTGCGGGGGGAGTCACTGGCCTCCACCCGGTGACCCAGCAGCATCCTAGTGTGAAGAGTGTCACACCCCATGTCATGGGCAATACTACAACTTCATTACCGCTGGTCTTGTCAAAGAACAGTTGTGCTAGGATCATATTTCTTTCCTGGCCAACTTGTTTTCTCAGGAGTTAATAATTGCCTTTGATTTTTTTGGTTTGTTTTACTCTCTACACACAGCTCATCAGTTCATCATCAGACTCTCCTGCCCAACCCTGGGATTCCTGCATAACTGACAGCCCCATCCCTGTGTCTCCCAGAACCACCCCCCCATCCCGTGCCCTCCTCCCACCCTTGCTAGCAAGCTCTCTGCCCCAGGCTACTGTTATGGGGCACGCTCCAAGGCACCTCCTTTCTCTTGCGTCCAGACCCCACGCTTGCCTTTTCCATTGCATGTGCTCTGAGGAGCGTTTTCCTGGTTTCCTGAGAAAGGCCGTGTGGAAGTTGTGGGCTCTGCTGCACATCCCTATCTACTCTACCTGCTTGCTAGTATAACTAAGCACAAACGTCCGGCTAGGTTGAAAACCGTTCCTACCAGGGATTTTGCGGGTCTCATGTCATTTTCTGGTCCCAGGAACTCCCATGTCTTCCCCAATTCTGGCCAGTGTGTGATATCTCCTCCCTTGGTCTTCTCTGCCTCAGTGATTTGCAAACAAAGATGTTGGCGTTTCTATGACTTGTTATCCAGACCCTCCCTAGTTCTAGGAAATGTTGATTTCTCCCTTCTCCTTTTCTGGAATTCTTATCATTTAGGTGTTCAGCTTATCTTTTGAGAGGGGTAGTTATGGGCACAGACTGGCATCGCTCTATGCATCTAGCTGGGTGGTATCGGTCTGTGTCTCCACTTTCTCATCTATAAAAATGGGGATACAAACAGCACCCCCTCCATGGGGGGCGATGCAGGGATGCACAGGTGTGTGCATGCCAAGGGACAGGAACAGCACCCACACACAGGTGGTGAGTCCTGGTCCCCACCCCTGCAGCTATCCCCTTCGGTCACCGAGGCCTCTGAGGGCCAGGCTGGCTCTCCACTGGAGCGCTGACCAGGGCGACCACCACACACTGTGTTCCTGTGGCTTTGCTGTTACAGCCTGGGAGAGTCCCTCTTTCTCTTTCAACCTCCCTTGAATTGTTCCCTTTCTTCTCATCGTTTTCTTGTCTTTTGCATCTTAAAAGGACAGGCTTATTAGGAGAGGGGAAAGGAGAGGGTCCGTGCCTCTGCCTGCGTTCAGTGCAGCGTCCCCACGTCCCCGAGGCCCTCGTCACGTCCCCGAGGCCCTCGTCTCAGGCGCTGCTGCTGCTTGGTCACGTCTGCTCCTGCGCTTCTCCGTTCCTCCCTCTTCCTTACGTGTCTGGTGGGCTGTCCAGTTGCATTTGAGGGAGCGGTTACCCCAGTGGCCACGGCGTATTGCCTGGTGAGCGGGGAAGCAGGACCCGGCCGGCACCCCCTTAGTGCCCCAGCAGCTGCTGCAAAGAGGCGCCCTCTTCTCTGAGGGCTGTGGGTGGCACAAGCTGGGGCCCAGACTCTGGGAGTCGGGATGGGGGCAGGCCCCACGTCACTTAGGCCCTCACTCTCAGAACAGGACCCTGTCCAGGGGGCCTCGGTGTGGGGACAGAGACGCTGTCTCCCTCCAAGCGGCTTCCCGCGGGTCCCCCTGCACATGGCCTCCGCCGGCCAGGCCCCCAGTGCCCGGCACCTGCAGTTCCACAGCCTTCCACCCCTTTGCCGCCCTGGGGTCTTGTCTCTCTAAGACCTTTTCCCTATCATTGAGGGGCGAGGGGGTTGCCCCACCGTGTCCAGCGGGACACGCCCCGTCCCTGAGCCAGGGTCCTGGGCCGGGTGTGGCTGGCCCGGGCGCGGGCGGCTCTTCCCACTCCACTGCGGGCGCCCGGCCCGCTTAAAAAGCAGTTTGGGGGCCGAAGGGTGGGGGCCCCGCCGCTGTCACGGAGGCGGGGCGCGGCGCCCGAGTCGGGCGGGCCGCGCTGAGAGGACAGCTGAGCCCGCGCGGCGCCCGGGGCCGGCTCCGGGCCGGGTGCCCGGCGGAGGGGGCTGCTCGCGGGCGCGGGCGGGACAGCGCAGCGTCTTCCCGGGAGGCGCGGGGCCCGGCCCCCCCCCCGCCCCGCCCCGCCCCGCCCCTCGGGCCTCCGGCCCCGCCCGCACCGGAAGCGCGTGCGCTGCCCGGGCCACGTCGCGGGAGGACCTCACCTCCTCCTATCGCGAGACTCCGTCCTCTGCGGCCGGCGCCGCCGGGCCCAGATCGCGCGAGACCGCGGAGGAGCAGGAGCGGGAGGCGCGCGCGGCGGCCGCTACGGGCGCAAGATGGCGACGGCGGCCCTCGCTCTCGTAAGTGAGACCCCGGGGCCGCGGGCCGCCGCCGGCTGGCGGGATGGGGCCGCCGGCCCGGCCGGGGCGCCGGGGGCCCCCCGAGGCTGCGGCGGTCGCCGCGGGCCGCGGGCCCTGGTCGCGCGAGGCGGGGGCGGGGCGGGCGCCGCTTCCGGCCGCGGGGCGCCGCTTCCGGGCGCGGGGCGCGGGCCGGGCCGCCCGGGCCCCGGGGAGGGCGGCCCGAGGGAGGGGCGTGCCCGCCCGCAGCCCTGTCTTCGGCGCTTCGCTGCGAGCGCGCGGCCAGGGCCGGGGCTCTTGGCCGCGGGTGCATGGGGGCCTGGGGCCCCTGCCCGGCCCGGCGGGCGCCGATGACCGGTGAGGGCTGGACCCGTCTCCCCGGAGCGGACGCCGACGCCGGGAGGGCGCGGCGCTGGCTCGGGACGCCGCCCTGCAGAGGGGCCGCGCGGGGCTCAGCTCGGCTGCCGCGCCCTTCCCGAGGGAGCCCCGGGAGCCGGGGGAGGCGAGCGCGGAGGGTCGAGGGCAGCCTCGCCCGCCCAGACTCCCGGGGCGGCGCCGAGCGGAGCCGGCCCTGCCCGGCCGGGCCGCGGGGCTGGAGCGCGCGGCGCCCCTCGCTGCTGCAGCCGCGGGCTCGGCGCTCGGCCGGGCGGCCTGGTCGCGGACCGGCCTCGAGCCGGAACATCGCGCTGGGCTTTCTGTTTGCGGCGGCCGCAAGCCCGGGCCTCCCGCGCCAGAGTCTGGCGGGCGCGCTCGCGTCCTGCCTCTGGGAGCGGTCTGCCCGCGGGCTTGCCGGGGCCCAGCGAGAGCCGCGCGCTCGCCCCGGCAGGCTGGGCAGCGGTCGCCGTGCCGCCCTGCCGGGCTCTGGCGGAGCGGCGCTGAGGTTGGCCGGGGATGGGGGGCGCAGGGAGACGCATACGGGCCTCCCCTGGGTGTCCTCACCTGGCGCTGCAGACGCACAGCCTTTCCCCGCTGGGGCGTGTGCTCCAGGCTTCCCGACTGCCACCCCCTCCTGGGGTCATCGTCCCTGGTCCTCTCTCTTCCCGCCGTGAGGCCGCTTCACCTCCTTCCTGTGGGGCCCAGTGTCTGGGGCTCCCCAGCGGCCTCTGCCTGGCCTGCCTCTCGTCTTCCAGCTGCGCTGTGCACAGCGGGCATCCTGTGTGGGGACTGAGCAGGTGGGGCGCAACCTGCTCTGGTGACCGGTGGTCACTGGCGCCCACGGCTGGCTGGCACTGACACCAGCCCCAGGAGACAGGCCCGCAGGGTCCCTCACCCCGTGACGCATCTGGGTTTCTGGCAGGATCAGTCCTTCAGGCTGTTGACCAGCAGCAGGGCTGGAGCTTGGGTCCCAGGGTGGCCCTCTGCCCTGGCCACCAGAGGGGGCTTTGCCCCTCAAGTCAGTGCTCAGGGGGTGCTTTGTGACCACAAAACTCTCTGTGTTCGTCCCCAGAGGCTGACAGCGAGTGACTGGTGGTGACGATCACAGTTTTCTCTGAGTGCCCTTGGCACCTGCTCCGAGTGGAGCTCTGGGCAGGCAGGCAGGGCCTGGAAGCCCCCCCAGCAGCGTTCCCTCTTCAGCATGGTCCCGGGTCCCGTGTTGGCCATAACTGTAATTTGGAGGAGCAGGAAGTTACTTAGGACCGCGTCCCCTCGCCAGTTTCTTGCCCGTGACGTACCTGCCACCTGCATTGCCCCATTACCCTGCTGAGCCAGGTCTGGAGCTGCTGCCCACGTGGCCGGCTCCGTACACCAGAGCCCCTTGGTCTCACCTGGTGTGCCTCAGGGGCATGACCCGGCTGTCGGCTGCTGTCCTGGAGTGGCCCTGGGCAGTGGCACCACGGAGGGAGCCCACCCGCTGTGCGCACCCCCGGGATAGCCCTCCGGTGTCTCCGAGCAGCTGGGCAGGCACTGGCGTTGCCACTCTGCTGTGGGCCAGGCCAGGAGTCGTCTACCAAGGTGGCCTCCCTGGGGTGAGGGGAGACAGCCTGCGGGCCAGGAACTGGCCTTGAAGGCTCGAGCTGTGTGGACAGAGGGCCGCTCTGATCAGGAGAGGACAGGTGCTCTCCCAGCTGACAGGAGCACGGGGAGCTCGCTGCCCTCTCTTCCCGCCCCTCTGGGCACCTGCTAGCGACTTGGCTGCCCTAGATTGTGCTGTGGCTCCTGCCAGGCCAGCTGCTTGTGGCAGCTGTGGTGGCCGCGGTGTGCCCGGGCATGCGCAGAGCGGTGTGGGCTGGGTATGGTCAGGACTCGGGGCTGAGCCAGACCGGGTCACGCCCAGGCTCCCACCAGCCTCCCAGGCCGGCCGTGGGGGAGTTCAGCCCTGAGCAGGGAGACGAGCGAGGGCCTGGGGGGTGTCTCGGGACTGTCCCTTACCGCTCTCCTTCCTGCCTGCAGCAGGTCAATGGCCAGCAAGGAGGGGGGTCCGAGCCGGCGGCGGCCGCGGCAGTGGTGGCAGCGGGAGACAAATGGAAACCTCCACAGGTACTGACCTCAAGCAGGCCCGCCCACCTGCCTGCCGGCCGCCCTCACACCCTGGGCCCAGAGACCTGGCTGGGGCTGGGCGGGAGGAGCCAGCGACCCTCCTCTGCCCCCCTCCCCTCGGCCTGGCTGCGGCCTCCTCCTGGGCCTGCCTCTCCCCTTCGCGTCTGCCCCGCTGCTGCGCGGGGTCAGCTGTGCGTGTCCCGGAGGCCGGGCAGATGCGCCGCGTGGGGCCTGCCCCTTGCCCGTGCGCACTCACGCGGGGCGGGGGAGGGGGTGCACCCTTCCAGAAGGTGCAGCGTGGCGGCGGTGAGAGCGGGTGTGCCTGTCACGTCTCTGAGTTACTCAGCCGGACCAGGCCAAGTGCGAGTCAGCGCCCGGGAGGCCTTGCCCTCCCTCTTGTCTTGGAGGGCCTCAGGGTGGGCTGGGTTGGCACGTTCTGGCCTCCAGGCATGCCCTTGGGGCGAGTCCTCCGGGAGGCGGAGCTGGGCCTTGCTGCGGGCCAGGGGTTCTTTGTGCTTCTCTGCTGCGACCGAGGGCTCTGGCAGGGGCTTGGCAAGGCAGCCGGGCCCTGTGGTGCCCTTCTCCGCCCCCAGCCTGCTCAGGGGAGGGGTGTGGTATGCAGCTTGGCTCCTGGCAAGAAATGGGGCTGAAGCTGGCGCAGGGGAGGGCAGGGTGTCCTCCGGCCGGCCGGCCGTGGGTTGGTGGGAGAAGGGCCTTTTGTTTGCCCAGACAAAGAGAAGATTGAAAGCTTGAGCCTGGGAGGCAGCTGGCGTTGCTAGCCCTGTGCGACAGGCTCGCGAGTCCCAGCCCTGCTCGATGGCCGCTCCCACCGAGAACCTGGCTTGGGCCCAGCTGGGAGGGGCCTGCAGAGCCCCCCTGCCCCGGGACCTCAGCCAACGCAGGGGCGGGTTTGGGCCAGCCGGCCCCTTCCTGCCACCTCTGTCCCTCTGTCCTGGCTCATCCTCGTTCCTGGGCCAGGACCCTGCCCATCTGCTCCCTGTCCCTGCCAAGGCTATGTCTTGGGGGCTGGTCACCCTGTCACTAGACACCCCGGGCCCACTGAGCTGGCGGCAGAGGCCCGGCTCAGATGTCCCCCTGC